AGGAGGGGGCTCCACTTATCCCTCCGCCTCCTGAGCGTTAGTCCCCGAGCAGCAGGGAGGACTCCTCAGGATGAAAAACCTGTGTCACTTCTTTCCCACTCTGACATTGGTCACTGAAGTCAGCCTTCTTCATCCCTCTGTCTGTTTCTGTCCGTCCTCATCTTTACATTCCTCTCCATCTCTACATTCCCCTGGTGGTTTAGAATTATAGACAAAACCTCTGTTGCCATTCTGTCCATCTCTCCACTTCTCTCCCCCCTCTTCCATCCATCCATCCATCCTGTAAGCCTGTTCAGACACAGACTGAGCATTGGATCCATTTTCTCATACCTCCATCCTTCTCCCTCAGACTCTCTCTATATCTTCAATAGAATAAATTACTGCATGTTTGGACGTTAGTATTTAGTATTAGATTGCAGTGTATCTCTCTATATCTCTGTTAGATGTATTTGCTAATGGGAGAGGATACAGTATGTGTAACTCCAGCTTTATCTATCATTTTATTTACGTATCCTGTTACTCTGCTTCGTTGCTGCTGCTGTTTGTTTACTCACACAAACCTGGAAACACGATGCTTTGATGTTTTCTGTTTGCATCTATTATTTGAGGAGGTGATGTGTTCAGAGCTGCTTGTTTGTTTGTCTGTTTGTCTCTTAGTAGGAAATCTCAAAAACATGTGAACAGATTTCAGTAAAAGTTGGTGGAAAGTTCAGCTGCGGGCCGCAAAATAGGTAACTCGTTTACGGTGCGAACCCAAAATGACTTCTTTATACTGGGAGATACATCAGGGTGTTATTGAACATTTCCACTATCTTCCCATGGCTCTTCTGCCACTTGAATAATAAAGAATTCAGTTTGTAGGTGGTGATGAAAGTGTATTGTGTAATATGAAACTTTAAATGTATCACCTTGATATGCTGATGACTTTTTGTAATTCAAGTAGGAGTCAGGATTATAGACACTGAAAGAGAATATTGGCTATAATATGCATTCAACTCTGAATTATAAGAGCATCAGAAAGTTGAATATCCTTGATAATTACTATGAATGCATCAACACTTCACTATTAATGAATATTGAAGACAGTGAAATAAAAAATCAATTTTCCAGCTCTAAAAGTGTATTTTCAGTCTATTATAATATAATGCTAAAATAATACATGTTTCATCTTAAACTCAGGTTCGTGTACATAAACGTATCCAATTGAATCTGATATGAGACTTTGGATCTTAGTCTGTGTTTCCAAAAACATGCAACTGATTAATTCCCCCCTCGTCCTCCTCGGGATCCAACAACACAGGTGAGGGAGGTTTTAACTTGTCCTATGCAGCTCTGTATCCTTCTGCTTAACAACACCCATGTTTTAGTGGTCCAATCAAATCAGAATTATTTGATCTAAACTAAACTTGGAAATATGTCACATCAGATAAAAATCTACCAAGTTCAGTTTTCATATAATAGCAACTAAGGATTACTTTCATTCTCGACTCATCTGTACATTATTTTTATAATTAATCAGTGACCATTTTTGTCAATAGTTAGAAAGTCATAAGTTACCAGAGCCCAAGGTGACATTATCAAACGTCTGGTGCTGTCCAGCCAAAAGTAAAACCAAAAGATTTCTGTGACTTTAAACAGAAAAGCAGCAAATCCTCACACTGGAGGACCAGAGGACATATGGCATTTTAATCAATTATCCAAATCGTATAGTTGATTTGTTTCCTGATGATCAGCTAATTGCTCAGCACCACATACATTATTCTTACATTTTGGAGAACTGTGCAGCCTTGGAGGAGGTTTTTCACTCTGGTTTCTCATTTTAAATGTTTAGCATGAATATTGAAGCTTTATTTGAATAATTTCTGTGCTTATCATCTACATTGTTCTCCTTCTCGTGTTTGGTTTTTCTTTGAATCCGTTTAAGGATGTCAAGGTCTTCGGGAAACATTTTAATTCAATTTCATTTCAGTGTTTTCACTGTATTTACACTCTGCAGAAGTTTTATCCACCAGCTGGTTTTTCGATCACTTGAGAGTCTGAAGCAGAAGATGTATTATTTACTGTCTATCTCTCCTCCTCTCCTCCCTCCTTCTCTCTGGCCTGTTTAGGAGCACTCTTTGGTCTAGGATATATTCCCCTGTGTTGTGTTTGTTTTTCTTCTTCTTCTCCTGTTTTTTTTTTTTGCGCGGGCAGAGTGAGTAGCTCCAGTTAATTAATACTGGGCCGGGAAACAAACGCCTCTCCACCAAACTCAACACTTCACTTCAGAGGCCCTGCGGCTGGCAGAGTGAGATGGGCACCGAGAGATGGGATTTATTCATTAGCAGCCTGCAGTAAGGTATTACACCTCCGCTGAGAGGCCGCAGTGCTGAGCGCTGTCCTCGTTAACGGCCTATCAAAGTGCAGTGGCGTCGAAATCGGCGGGTGAATCATCAGGCCGTCTGATCCATCGCCCGGTACTCCCATGGTATCATTTTGTAGTGTTGGACGGGTTTCTGGTTCTACTTTTCTTCTTGTGTTGGACTCGTGATTCTGTGCAGCTCAACACAAAAAAACTGCTCTCATGAGGGTATCCAGTCATGTTTAAAAATTAACTAGATTTGGGTTATTTTTGTTTGGAAAGCACAAAGTGTCTGGAATGATAAATATAAGAAGCATTTACTTTTTCTTGTGACATATGTTTTTCAACATATAGCACATAGCATTTGATTTTTCTGTTTTTCTATATTGAAATGTGATGTTCTGGCTGTGGTTGCCTATAAAGGCTGAATGAAGCAGCAGATGTAACACCGTTGTTTGTCCTCCAATAAAAAAATAGGAGGAGCATTAAGCCATCTGACACCTCAATCATCAGGACAAACCTGTTTGTTACTGCCTTCCAAGAGCAACACACATTGGCAGCGTCATAGAACATCAATTGATGCTCAAACACCCAGCATAGCGTGTCAGGCAGAAAAATAAATGATCAAGGTATCTTGCATTATACTACGTATGGTATCTCTATTGTATTTTACTCTTTAAACTCATACAATACGGCCAAAAAACAATACGGCCAAAAAACATTCAGAAAGCTAAAAAAAGAAAAGAAAGCAGCTGCTTAACAAATTAGTCAGTTAATCATTAATCAGTTTGCCTCAATGCGAGATAAACAGATGACAAAAAGCACAACGCTCTCCAAAACTTCATCAGCGTTAAATCCATCAGTAACAAAGTCTCCAACACTTCACAGAGAACACCATCTCCAAATCTTCACCAGAATTTTACTTGACTAACCATCCACAACACAGCTGGGCCCTGGGGGGGTCCCTGCACCTGTCTACGTGTGAGTAGGGGGCAGTTTTAACGCACCCGCTTGGCTTATCATCCATAATATCGATTCGATTCCCAGCTCCCCCGGTACAGTCAAAGTGTCCTTGGGCAAGATAATGAACCCCAAATTGCTCCCGATAGCTGTGTTGTCAGTGTATGATTGTATGAGTGTGTGTGTGTGTATGGGTGAGCTTAGTATCATCATGAGCACTTTGGATAGAAAACGCTGTATCGCTCCTGATGAGCAGGTTGGCACCTTGCGTAGCTCTGCTGTCAGTGTATAAATGTGTGTGTGAATGGGTGCATGTGGCAAGTGTTGTAAAGCTCTTTGAGCGGTTGGCAGTCCATTTATTATTTGCATGGCCACAAGAGGATGCTCAAAAGATGACCAATGCAATCTGAAAACACCAGAGCAAAACCACTCACAGCATCAACCAGGAGTCAGTGGATGGAGACGGATCAAGGAGGACATTCACATCTGACTCCACAGACAGCTATTACCATCTCCCCCCATGTACACCCACCCGCCATCACAAAAACTTCCCATTTAAGTCAAACGATAACACCTGAACCAACTCTGTCCACTGACTGAGCATTTGAGACGTGGATAAAAGCTCTGGAAATATAGTAGTTAAGATTATTTTGTCAAACATCCAGTTGTTTTTTTCTGATAAGGACAGTCAGTCTCATTTTGGAAACTCAAAACAGTCCACTTCTAAGGAGGTAGAAATATTCACTCAGCTTTGAATCCAGACAGACTGTTCCCCCGGAGCTGTCTGAAATTTGGATCCCTCTACAGCTTCTAAATAAAGAGTCTCCAATTACAGTCTCTCCTGCAAACAACACTGTCTTTAGTTTTAATGAGAAACAAACCATTTGCTGGAAACTTGCACCTGAATGTTCACACCTCTTAGAGATTTTGGGGAAACGGCCAAAGCTTTCACTGGGGCTGTGTTCAGTAAAAATAGTTTGCTGTGATTGTCAGTGTGTTAATTCTGTTTAGAGTCATAAATTAAACTGGCAGGACAACCACTAATCCTCCAATGTAAAAACAATGGAGATTTTAAGAAACGCTGTACCTGACAGAGTGCAGTGAAGTGTGAGTCTGGGTATTTCCACACATCAAGGCAAAAAAAGCGTTTTGTCAAAGTCAAGTCAAGCTGGCAGATCAGGAAAGCGTTTCCACCATCTTTGCTTTCACTGAGGCATGACAAAAGTGTTTTATTTACCCATGTTTAACATGGAAGACTTTCCACATCCTCACATCAGAGGCTGCTTTTCTGTCGAATTTCTGTCATTACAAAGTTTTTTTAAAGGCACATTGAATCAGCCAAGTTGGGCTAATTGAGGACTATTTGACATTTTAATTTAAATGATATGCACTATTAATGGGTGAGTTTAATTAGTTTTTTAAATATTTGTCAAATTTTGGCCATGGGTATAGTCTTGGTTTTATGTGGCAACATTTTGAAATATTGGTGGAAAGTGGAGAAGGAGGGGGTTTTGTTTGTTCTATTTAAAACATTAAAAATGACATTTGAAGAACAGCAACATCTTTAAAGAAACAATGGCCCTCTAATTCAATTGTATTGTAGTATTTTAGTGCTTTAAGGAACACAAATTCCATTTACCTCCACTGTATTGGGGCAGACTCTATATTATACAATATAAAATAATATCATACTCCTTACCTTCCTCAGTCTCATGCCAGACAATGCCCTCCAGATTGACACTTGTCCCAGGCTGGCAGGGCCCCAGACAGGCCGAGTCGCCCTCCAGTGCTCCTGAGATGCCTCCATCCTGGGTGTTGGTGCCTATAGACCTCGTCCTCACCACCAGCTGCTTGGGGTTAGAGGTGGGCAAGGCCGGAGGGGAGAAGGAGGGGGCAGAGGGCAGAGAGGATCCAGGGCCCCCGGGGTGGCCTGGAGCAGGGGGAGCTGGCACTGTGAACATGGGGTCCATCTGTAGGGAAAAGGAGAGGATTCTTTAAATATCAGAGAAAGAGACTGTCATGCATGGTAATATGTAATTTTACTTCACTACCATTTTATTTTTGGTATTAATCTTTTATTTCAATTCAAGTTTCATTACATTTAATGAAATTTAGTTCCTTGTGCTCTCCAGAAAAAGCAGAGGAGAGAGGGAGACAGAGGGTAAAAAATATAGATAAAAAGATTATTAATGTAATTTCAATATTACTGACGTTAGTCCACCTGACATCTGATTATTTATACAATGGAAGGACATTTTAGAAAAGGAGACATTTTCTCCAAATGTCACACCATTCATTACTCTATCCACAGTCTGCACTTACCAACGTCCTAATACTGAGTGGCAGCTAATCATCTCTCAACTATATCCAGACTTAGAAAAGCTTTTTTTCCACCCCGTCTATTTTGATTAATCAACATCTCTCTATCACAAATCCACATGAGTCCATAAAAGGCAAATAATGCATCCTCGTTTACTAGTTTCTGGGAGGAAAGGCAATGTATGCCAACAGAACATACATACATAAGCTGTACATTATAATTAGCTGCCACTTTTGCACAGAGCGACTTGGCAAAAATCTGCAACAGTATAATAAGGCAACATTACTGGAGCTCATCCAGTGTGACTATAACAACAATAATGGTTTCTCTACTGACACGGGAAATGGGATTTGTATGCTGTTTAAGTCTTCTGTGGGAATCAGCTTCTCCAAAATGGGGTTCAGCAATATGCAGATTATTTATTGATTTTTGTGGTTTACAGCAAGACATTAAAGGGAAACCTACAAGCTGGGTGTTATTCTCATATTTCTGTCCTTTGTGTCAGTTGTTCATTCAACATTTTACTCACCAACTTCTTTAGAGAAGCGCAGACTCTGGCAAGAATGATTATTTGGGAATGGAGCCTCCAACAGCTTTTCCAAAAGCTTCACAAATTGTCTCAAACAGCAGCTACAAGGATTTCTAGTCTTTACTTATGATTAAATTAAAAGATGATGGGTTCGGGAGAATTTCTGTTACACTGATTTTTTTTGCTGCAGGAAACTGGTAACCTTGCAAAGCAGCTGGACTCACCAGATCACACAGTCCATCTTTCCAGGCTTCAATCTATGTATTTGTTTTTTTTTGTTTTAGTGACAGGAAAGGGGGGGAGCGAAGGGATGACACACAGCAAATGCCCACAGGCTGGAGTCGAGCCCATGGACACTGCAGCAAGGACTTAGTACATAGGGCACCAGCTCTACCAGGTAAATTATATGAGCGCCCCAATCTATGCATTTGGTTCAGACCAATCAGCAACCTATGGTGAACTACTGGGGTTTAACGCTAGGTGTGTATGAGGACATTGGGAGTAGTGACTGTTCACTTGAAAACAACAATGGCTAATGAGGTTAGCATCAGTTATATCAGAACTGGAGAATATTTCTTCATTGAAAGAAGAGATCGGCACTGAAGTCATTTCTTGATGGAAAAGATGTTCTTGCTCTTCTCCTGCTGGCTTCAGTAAGAGTTTGACGTTATACATTCATTGATCTGATTGGTTGAAGTTTTCCAGTTATAGATGGTGATAGACAGATGGTTCATCCAATCACTTTTTTGAAAGTGCCTGTCCTTTTACAAACAGTTTCCGAGGACAGGTCAGTGAACTGGCTCATTAATGTTCCTTACTCAGCAGATTGCTATTATCCCTGAGTGTATTGCATTGTACATCAGCTCATTTTATTTCTTATGAATTAAACTTCTCATTTGAGAGAGGACGAATACGTTAATTCTTCTTTCATAGGTTACAAAAAAGTTTGGAACCTGCTGAAACTCTCAAAGTGTCAGTGATATTTTATTAACAGCAGGCAACAACTACATCAAAGTTATTAAAAACTGGAGAATTTCCCAGAGGCTAAGCCTGACTTCAGTTAACCTAAAGAACTGATTCAGGTCTGGTCCATATTTAGACTTCCTGTTACCTTGTTTTTGAAAGCCTAAATGATTGGACCACCCCATTGGGAGGCTGCAGGAGAATTTGTGTTAAGTGAAAACCTTCATGTAGGGCAGAAGAAGAAGAGTTGTTATGGCTGCAGTTTCTGCATCCAGCCGGTACAAAGCAATCTTATCATGTCATTAATAAACATATTAGTTAAACTTAAAAAAGAAAAAGAAATAAATACAAAGGAAAAAGCTAAACCAACATGTAGTGTATTGAGTGACTGGTTGTCTTTTCACCACATTTTGCTGCATTAAAGCTGATATGGTCTGAATCTAATTTACAAACTGCAACAATTAACTTTGGTACATTCATGGTAGAGATCCTCAAAAAGGGAACTAGGGACAGTCAGACCTTATTAGAATACCACTGAAGATAATTAGATCTGATCCAAAATGAAGTCTGTGAAGACCCTGAACTGACGGTAGAGACCTGTGTCGAATCATATTTCTACCGTTTTTAGTCTCAGCGTTTCATAAAACCAAGAACATCGTTTTTTCATTTTCAAAGTCTGTGAGTGATCTTAACCGCTGTCATCACCATGGTTACATGTAATGAAATACTAAGTCATCGGTGCCTATAAGAGCCTCACTCTTATCTTCACCACTTATTATGGTCCCAATTACAACAGCCTTGGGAAATAATTCTGCTGAGAGGGCAGCAGCAATCAGCGATGAAGGATTTTTCTTGCCGTTATGACTCAATAAAGATTACAGGCTTGACAGATAACTCACTGCAAGATATTCTTGAGTGATTTCCCAGTTTGAAAAAAAAAACGTTCTCTCCGAGCTGAGCCTGTAAATGCTTGAGGAAGCAGCAGCGCTTTGTCAAGTCCAACTCTTCTGTGGCGTTTGGCTTCCCAGATAAAAGAGTTGCTCTTCTGTTGTGTTATTATGAAGATCAATCAGCTGCTCACACAAGTCGCTCTCAAATGTGATGAGAAAATACTTCTTTTCTTACTTCTTTAGAGAGAGTGCTCTATGCTTTTCTTTAAAATCCCTTTGCTATTTTTCTTCTACCGCGGCTTAAAATGCAGAGGTTACTACCAATGTTAAAAGCTCCAGCACTGTGGACTGGATAACTGCAGACTGTGATGCTTTCAGCAATGTATGAGTGAAATTTTTCTCCATGATTATTTTATTGATCGGCAGTACAGCTGTCTTTTGAAATAAGAGTCTCAGTTATTCTCATTTAGGGGGACAAATGATTTAGGTGAACATTTTTGGGGTGGCGTTTCCCTGTGTCCCTATAAAGTTACATCTATGCTTCTGACTTGCAAAACAATCACTTTTCCCTCTGCTGGTGGTACTTAGAGCCAACTCAGCAATACTTCAGGGTGTGGGGTTTAGTTTTTATTCTACGTTCTCCCATGCTAACAGTGTACTCCAGGTATTATGAGGAGCTTTGTTTCAGCTGTTTGTTTCACTGCGTTTATGTTAAAACCCTAATAAACAATGCAGATTTATCATGCAAAATAGTAATAAAACTAAAGAAAGATGATCCCCCTGTGCTTCCTGAAACCGTCTGTTAACTCCCACACAGCTGCTGACAAAGACCACACAGGACTTCTTCTACCAAATCACAAAGCAAATTAACTATAAAAGAAGAATCGTGATCCCCAGCGATTCCTGTTCTGCCGTTAACGCCTTCCTCCCTCAGACACCCAGAATAACAACGCTCGATCGCAATTCACACAGCAGCTATAGTCAGCCAGGACGCCGTCACACAGCAAAATAACAATGAAAACACAAGCGGGCTCCCCTGTGTGTTAAATGCTTCAAACAAATCATCCTTTCTCACAGTTTCTTAATTAAAAAATCTGACAATACACACAGAAAGATCACAGCAACATAACAGAACTGCAGGCAGGTTTAGCATGATAGGCATCTCAAAAGAAGAAAGAGCGGTGTCCTATCTGTGATGCAATAAAAATATGTGTTTCTTAAAGGTCCAGTGTGAGGATCTATTGGTGGAAATGGAATATAATATTCAATGGTATGTTTTCATTAGTGTATAATCACTTGAATTATTAGGACAATATTGTGAATTGCAATTACTTTGTCCAGGACAATCGTGACATGAAATATTCATATCATCAACTTGGATTCTAGACGGATTAAACAAACAAGATACAACATGTTTCACACAAGATTTAGTGCTGGCAGATTGTTTCCCTTTGTTTCCTGTCTTTAAGTCTTTAAGTGCTAGCTTCATACTTAAGTGTACCAACATGAGAGTGATATCAATCTTCTCATCCAATTCTCTTCAAGAAAGTGAATAACCTTTCCTAAAATGTTAAACTGTTCCTTTAATGATTGTATGATGGGTTTTGGTAATAAAACAAAGCAAAATCAAATGTTGACCTGATGATGACGTAAATCCTGAAGGGAGTCAAGTATGTCTGAGCCAAACTGAAATCCATCCAATAGTTGTTGATATATCATCAAAACCCCAAATGTCAACTTTATGGTGGAGTAGGATTCATCCCTGAGGGCCATGAAGGTCTATACAAAATGTCACGGCAATCCACCCAAGGGTAGCTGAAATATTTCAGTCTGGAGCAAAGTGGTGGACAAACAGCCGCCCACCCATGAACCATTTTAGCTAGCTATCTCTGTATCTCTGTCTCTGTATGTTACAACATTTACACAGTGTTTCTTTTTACCATGAATTACGAGGATTTCATCTGATGAATGACATCCTTGTGAGCTATAGGGATGGGTTCCAGTTGAGAACCGGTACTTAATTGTCCGATTCATTGGAGTTGTATGCATCCAAGCTTATCAATATCTTTTATCAATGCCAGCATGTTTTTTTGACCGTTGTGCATTGCAAAACAGTAATGTCGAACTGGAAAGCTGAAAAGCTGCAGGCTTAGCAGAAAACCTAAATGAAAAGATTAAACAGTGGAGCTTTTGCACACCTGAGTCCCATCCAGACCGACGTGTCGATGCTAAAAAACCTGCATAGGCCTACTTTTCTTCCACACAGAA